CATCTCACTCAAAGTTGTACAAAAACTAAAATGAGAAATGCAATTGATGGATACCGGAGATGAGTCGAGATTGCAGTGGATACCGGAGATGTTGGTTAGGATCTGGAAAGAAAAGGTCAGTTTCATGTTTCACCGCTTGGTTTTATTGGGATTAGTTGAAAATTTGCAGACGTTTCATCGTACGAAATCCTGTAATTGTTAAACCTAGTTCATTTTATTATGGTTCTCGCTCATTTAATCTTTGAGAGATTTCTCTTCCGGTTCAATTTTGGCGACTCTGATTCCTCACGCTTCTGCTTATTGACGGCGCGCCTCATAGTTCAAGGAATTCCTGTCCTTGGATCAAACAACTTTTGTGAAGGCTGGTAAATGATTAAAATCAATAAGATTAAGGCTGTTTCAGAAGACATTGCCACTTGTGGGGCGAGTTGGTCTCGAGGGCGTAAAAAGAGACTCAATGCTAACTCCGACAGGTAACTCAGGAAAAACTTCTTTATCTAGAGAGTGGAGTACATAATTTGCGACCACAGTGGAGTTGAGGCGAATGGAATGGACACATTTTAGAGGAAAACTTATTAAATGTGTGAAGGAAAATGCAAGAGCATTTATACCAATAGGTTTGGAAGGCTTGTACGGAGCATAAACGTGTGGGCTGGTTCGCTCTTATGACATGCTTCTGGTGCTGTGCATTATACAAGGCACTGAAACAGTGAATGTAAAAGATGGTGAGTGTTAAGTCTGAGTAAAAACGTCCCTGAACTACTACTATTGTGGGAATTACTTCTGTTTCAATCAGCAAATCAAACTATTTTCTCCTTTTTGGCTTGCGGTAGGTTGGTGAGACAGGAAAACGGGCGTGTGCAGGTTTTGATGAGGGGGTTGCTTGAATGTTTTGCGAGGTCCACTTTTAATCCTTCCACCTTGAGATAGCTGGAGGCCAATTGCCAGAGGGTGAGGTGGCGTTCGCAGGTAAAGTTAGTGGGTATTGAGGAAGCGCCAAGTTGGGTGGGGGTGGGGATTCTCCAGTGCGTGAAGCATTAACTTTGAAAGTCTCAGAGATAGGAGGAACTGCAGATGCTGGAGAATCTGAGATAACAAGGTGTAGAGACGGATGAACACAGCAGGCCAAGCAGCATCAGAGGAGCAGGAATGCTGACGTGTCGGGCCTAGACCCTTCTTCAGAAATAGGGAGGGGAAGGGGATTCTGAAGTAAATAGGGAGAGAGGGGGAGGCGGATAGAAGATGGATAGAGGAGAAGATAGGTGGAGAGGAGACAGACAGGTCAAAGAGGCTGGGATGGAGCCAGTAAAGGTGAGTGTAGGTGAGGAGGGAGGGAGGAGTTAGGTCAGTCCAGGGAGGACGGACAGGTCAAGGGGGCGGGATGAGGTTAGTAGGTAGGAGATGGGGGTGGGGCTTGAGGTGGGAGGAAGAAAAGGTTAGGGAGGCCGGGACGAGCTGGGCTGGTTTTCGGATGCGGTAGGGGGAGGGGAGATTTTGAAGCTTGTGAAGTCCACATTGATACCATTGGGCTGCTTTGAAAGTCTGCTGTCTGGAGGTAGCATATCACACTCTTGAGCAGAGGAAATTGGCTGGACATTACAGTCAGAACTTTGTCATTACAGTCAACTTTGTCAGAATAACCCACAGACACATATTGCCGTCTCATATGGATATGACTTTTGATTTCTGCTTCAGATAAAAAAGTTTTCAACGCTTGGTACGAAACGAAACCATCGTTATTTCTGTTTCAAATACACATCGTGGTTTGTAGATCTTGCCTACCAAAACAGTACTGAAACCGCAAGACTGCAAGCACGATACTGAACGATTGCACTTCACATGAGCTTAAGAGAGTGGAAAAAAACAAAGTGACCACCCTCGCCCTCCCGTCCCGCTCAAACCAGTTGGGGGTCGGGTACTTAGCTGGGCCTCTGTTCCAAATATCATTATGTCCCGAGGAATGGAACTTCGCCCCGTGCTCATCCTGATCCTTTCTTGTACAGGTACGTGTCTTCAATTCAATGATTGCTACATAGATTATTTCGCATGTACAATTTACAACTTTTTCTATGTATGGGCATGACTTGTAACAACTTCAGCCATAAATAGTAAATACATGTTCTTTATGGAGTTTCTAGCCTTTCGAAAAAAAAATATTTCTAAGCAATCATAAGCGCCGCTGCTGAGCCCTAGTTGTTTCCTTATTTGCTACTACAAGTTTTCCACTCGCCGCCGTCCTCCTGTAAATAAATGTTTGGTGTTTTTGTTTGTTTTCGCAACAGCGGCCGCTGAAGTGACTCAATTTCTGAAACCGTCCAGTGCAGTCGTAGGACAGACAGTGACTTTTTACTGCTCGTTCCCGCTCTTCCGAGATCCAAAACAAATCACGGTGCACTGGTGGAAAGACGGCGACCGCGAATTCTTGAACTCAAAACAGGATTCGAGGAGAGAGTTCCAGATAGAGAGCAAAGCCAGCGCCATTCTGCGCATTCACAATGTGCGTTTTGGAGACGCTGGCGTCTATTATTGCAGAGTGCAGGGTGAACATACTGGAAATGGAACTGGCAAACGGCTGGATGTAAGCGGTGAGTAATCACTCTCAGCAACGTGGAATACACGGCAGTTAGAGGGACAGGAAAGTTGAAACGAGAGGACGGCTGGGAAGGATAATGCAAATAATGGGCATTTTCTCTCCTGTAGCGTAGATTCGGAGTCCAAATGTGTGTAGGTTAGGTGGCTTGGCAATGGTAAGTACAGGGTTACAGGTCGGTGCTGGGTTTGGTTGCGATGCTCCTTAGAGGGTCGGTGCAGACTCGATGGGTCAAAAGGCATTTTTCCCACACTGTAGGGATTCTATGATTCAATACAGATGTTTGATTGAACGCCCAGTGTGCAACAAGCTTTTGTATCCGGGAAAATGGAACAACTTAGGTGCAGCTTTAACCAACATTACTCACTGGCCGCGGGAAGTATGCGCTCTTGTTGCTGAAAATTCAGAGCCGAAAACTGAATATTCGGCAATTGTCAGTGGGGTACAGCAAGGGGAGAGTAGCGACAGCACGCTTCTGTTTTAGCTGCTATTTCGAAATCTTTTACTGCAGGAAGTCAAATACATTTTTCAAAATACACATTTCGCAATTTGTTCTGATGTTACATTTTGCATCGTTATCGTGAACTGAGTTTCTCGTTATCGTTCACCTTCCATCCAGTGAAATCTCTAACTTATTCTCGACCTTCCTCTACACGGTAATGAAATCTGCGAGTTTCGGACGCAGTTCAACCATTTCATTGCTAACCTTTTGTCGGGAAATTTCCGAAATGAAAACTGCAGACTTGCTAACACGAAAGCTAGATGTCTGCGGGTCGAAATTTTTTTGAAAAAAACTTTTAATGACTAACGTTCAATCATTTTTGCAAGGAAAGCTGCACCATTTTATGTACATTGGCGGTTTAGATAAATCAGCCCGTGTTGAGTTACATTGTCTTGCATCCTCATCCTTCTACAGAAGAGAGAGAAGGAATCTCGCACTCGAGAAACGTGAAATAGTGAAAAAAAAAATTACGGTTCTTGTCCAGGATTTATTGAAGAAGTTCTGAGGCTATTATTTAAGCCGGTTGTTTTTTAAACGGTATGGATAACATGAGCACGGGAAGGTGAAGAATGTTGGAGTTTATAGAATACAGTGGAGAGCTTTTCTAATCCTGACCGTAGAAACAAGTTGAGGTTTTCGTTTCTCTTTGGTAGGGTCTCTGGACCGAAATGATTGTTTGTTTTTTTTTAACGAGTTACTCCAGCTAGTCCGCAACATTATTCTCCCGAATGCAGTATAATCGCACTCGGAAATATGAAGGAGTTTCAAAGTAATTGCAGTCAGATTGTGGTATTCCGCCAACCTGAGTCACAGCTTGACTCTTGAACAGCAGGGACCGACGATATTGATTTTATCTGCGGCACTTCTGCCTTGACTTCATTTGCTTTTAAACAGAGATTTATACCTTGGCGCAGGGTCCGAAATAGTCTATTTTACACAGAGGATAACAATTCATTTACTGTTCGTACGCCAAAATATAATAGCGATTCTGTGTGCGCAATTCGCGTCTTTGCCAAATTGTGTTATCGTTGAGATTATCCGTTTAACACCACCGCACCAATTCAGAATCACTTCCAGCGGCCCTTAACTGTTATTGCGAATTATTGAAGAAACAGCAGCTAATTCGCAATAACAGTTAAGGGCCGCTGGAAGTGATTCTGAATTGGTGCGGTTGTATTAAACGGATAATCTCAACGATAATACAATTTGGTAGAGACGCGAATTGCGCACGCAGAATCGCTATTACATATTGGCTGTACATATAGTAACTGAATTGTTTGCCTCTGTGTAAAATGAACCACGTTGGATCATGCGCCAAATTACAAATCACGGTAAAAGTGACAAGAGAAAGATTTAAAAAGGACATAAGGGACCACTTTTACACGCAAAGTGTGGTGCATGTATGGAATTAAGTGCCGGGGAAGTGGTGAAGGCTGGTACAATACGACATTTTAAATGGCACCTTGCTGGGTATATGAATAGGACAAGTTTAAAGGGATATTAGCCAAATGCAGGCAAATGGGACTAGATTAATTTAGGATATCTGGTCAGCATGGACGAGTTGGACATAAGGGTCTGTTTCCACGCTGTACATCTCTATGACTGCCCAAACCCTTATATTGCAACAATCTCATTAGGAAACACTAAAGTTCCAAGATTGAACAACACAGAACTGCCTCCCCAAAACGTAGTCATATAAACACCATTTGAAGCTGTGCTGAAGCTGCGGCTATTATTTCGGGAGTGATGGTTAAGTGCGGGCGAGTCGCCCCGCATGAAAATGGTACGAAAGACGTCAGTTCTGAAGGAGGGTCACTGGACTGGAAACGTTAGCTGTACTTTGTCTCCACAAATGCCTGCCAGAGTTACGCCAACAATGCTTGCTTTTGTTTCAGATGTCCGCTGTCCTTTGTTTTATTTATTTGAAAGGCTTGTTCGCCATGTCTGAGCATGTCTATATGTGCTCTAAGTGAAAGGCAGATTGGTCTCAAATCTAGATAACAAACACTCCGAACCCCTGAAAATTAAGAGGCCATAACTTTCAAAACAGAATATTTAGTATCTAAATGGTAAAAATGTTTAACGATTCAATTTCGTGTCAAATGCATGTTCCTCCCAAATCGTCAACAATTCAGAGGATTCAAGCCCAGCTACTCGCTTTACATTAGCGTTTCAAAGCTTGACCTAACTCCAGAGGAACAGTTCAAACGAGTAGCTGACAATTGGGTAAGAAAACGCAAGGTCTGATTTTGAGACCTTGTAACTTTAAACGTCGTTCGAATCAGCTGTCAGACTGGCTATTTGCGGTCGTCCCCGTGCCCTATAATTTATTATCTAAGCTAACAACCAGGTTTTTCTAAAAAGTAAAATCTCGCTTCCATTATAAGCTGTGATGTTGGTGTGGCTTAGAATGCAGTCAGGTCAGTGGCTTGAGGCTAACCTGCCCGAAATCTAACCTTCATTATAAATGTGGGATGTGATGAGTTTAATCCAATCACTGACTTCATTTTTGGGTTTTATCGGCAGTTCGAAATGTGGAAAACTGGCAGACTCCGCAGTTAACCTTGTTATTAGTCTCTAGTCCATGGCTGCAAGTTATGGTAGAATAGAAAAATGTTTTACATTGCTGAATGTGAAATATTTATAGCATAGATTTTCCATAGATAGAACAGGGAAATAGGCCGTTCGGCTCACGGCTAGACGATGTTAAAAACAAGGACGTTAAGAAGTAGAAGCTAGTGGTTGACCCGTCAATACTACTCTAATATTCAACAATATCCAGACTGATATACACCAAAGGCACCTTCACACAGAATATCACTAATCGTTTCATTCCTTGATCCAATATCCATTTATTCCCTTGGTACCCCGAGATTATTGATCTCAATCTTGACCACATTCAACATCCACTGCCCCTAGGATTCCAAAATGGTTGACCTTTGTTCATAGACCTCAGACAGGAGGAACACTTTCTATCCTGGGCACCCTCTTCAAAATATTTTGCATGTTCCAGTTAAACCAACTCTCAGTCTTCCCAATTCTAGGCAGTAACGGATGAGTCGACTCAACCTCATCAAAGGACAATTCCCTTCTTCTGTTGTGAACCTTCATGTCCTTGTTTAAGTAAGGAGACCAAAACTACACCACACTTCATGCTAGCGGAATAACTACCAAAGGAATAACTTCCCTTTTCACATTGTCTTTCACCTGCTCTCAATCCATGCTAATATGTGACATCAAATCTTCTGAGTACTAACTTTGTTTCATAACCTTATTGAATACATTTTGGAAACCTCAGAAACAAACAAAATCCAACAACCAGAACAATCTTTCTAGTTACATCCTCAAAAAGCTCCTAACAGAAACTGTTTCATTTCATGTCAACTCTGCTTAATCATGTGGTTTTCTAAGAGCTCTGTTACCCTGCCTCTAACAATAGCATCTAGCATTTTACCTATGAATACTCAATTATTTGGCCCACAGTTTCGGTTTTAGCCCTTGCCCCTTTGTTAAGTAATAGAGTTTATGTCAGCTACCTATTGATTCTTATGAATTATACTTAATCTAAGGAATTCTGGAAATAAAAATAATGCACCAATGATTTCTGCTGCTACCACTTTTAAAACTTTATGATACAGATTTTCAGGAACAGAGGACTAATGACCTCTTAGTCCCATTAGATTTTCTACTGATATGGATTTCTTTTAATTTCCTAATTTTTACAGGGCATTTGATTGCCCCTTTTTGCAGCCTTTTGTTTTGTCTTCCGCTGTGAAAACAGATGCATTGTATCTGTTCAATGCTTCTGCCATTTCCTCATTCCTCATTATACTTTCGCTTGTTTCTGCTTCTAATAGGCCTACATTTACTTTCTCTGATTCCTCTCTGGAAGTCTTATGGTACAATGGCAGTTTTGTTGCCTCTGAGCCAGATTCTTCTGGTTCAAATTGCACTCCATGTCTTGATGGCAAGCAAGGTGTATCCATAAGATGACTAAATGAATGAGCATCAACTTATAAATTCATCCAACACACACCAATGAGAGAAGTAACAGCAAGAGAGATCCCTGTTCAACTGTCTGATCACACATCCAGGTGAAGGTGAGAAACCTACAGCCTCTGCCATAGTTCTGTGCATGTTGCCAGAGCAACTTAGTCTCCTTGGGGGATGGTTAGTTCAGTCAGCCGTTGATCATACTGATGTCAACAGCTTTTGTGTCAATCCAAATTGTGCTGAGTGTTATCAGGATCACCCTTCTTGCCAAAGGTATCAGACCTGTTTCCAGGCAGAAAATGCAAGAAGAAACATCTCATTTTATCAACTCTCTATTGAAGCATTTTCAACCTTTCTCTTAAAGAAAGGATATCTTGCTAGTATGCTCTCATTCTTTGGCCTAATCAATTTCTTGGGTCAACTTATATCCTTATAATATCTTTTCAACGTTCATTTTAATACTGGGCCAGCATTTACTGCCCATCCCTCATTGGCCTTGAGAAGATACTGGTGAGCCATTCTTGAACAATGGCAATCCATTTGGCATGGATACACCCAAAATGCCATTGGGAGGGAGTTCCATGATTTTGTCACAGCAAAACTGAAGGAATGGAAATGTATTTCCAAGTCTGGATGGTGAATGGCTTGGAGCAGAATTTGCAGGTGGTCTTGTTCCCATGTATCTGCTGCCATTATCCTTTCAGATGGCAGTGGTCATATGTTTAGAAGGTGCTATCTAAGGACCTTTGGTGAGAAGTTGCAGTGCATCTGGTAGATGGTACACATTACACCCACGAGCATTGGTCATGGAGCAGTTGAATATTTGTGGATGTGGTGCCAATCGAGAGAATTGCTTGGCTTTGAATAGTGTCAAGATTCCTGAGTGTTGTTGGTGCTGAAGTCATTCAGGATGAAGGAATGTATTCAACCACACTGTGCCTCTTCCTTTGCGTTACATATGACTCCAACTCTTGGAGATTTTTCCACCTATTTCCTTTGACTCGCATTTTGTTAGGGCTCCTTGATGCCACACTGAGTCTAATATGGAACAAAATCAGAGTTAACATTTCAGATCAAGTGACCCTTCCTCACAATGTTCTGCTCATATTCTGAGGAAGGGTCACTCAACCCGAAACGTTAACTCTGATTACTCTCCGCAGTTGCTGCCAGACCTGCTGAGATGTTCCAGCAATTTCTGTTATTGTTTCTGATTTACAGTGATCACGTTTTTTTTTTTTCAGTTTTTACTGAGTCTAATATGTCCTTCTTATAAACAGCAGTCACTCTCACTTCAACTTTGGAAGTGAGCATTTTTGTTTATGTTTGAAATAAGGCTGTAATGCTAGTGCTCAAGAACAAAGTTGCTGGAAAAGCTCAGCAGGTTTGGCAGCAGTGAAGGACAAAACAGAGTTAACATTTTGGGTGACCCTGCTTCAGACTGATGCTAGCTGGGAAAATGTCAGTTTATATGCAGAAAAGAGGGGGTGGGGGATGGGGGAGGGAGTAAACAATAGGATAGAGTTGGACAGACAAAGAGTTGATAACGAGTTCAATAATTTTAAGGAACAAAAACAAAGTTGCTGGAAAAGCTCAGCAGGTCTGGCAGCATCTGTGGAGGAGAAAACAGAGTTAATGTTTTGGGTCCGGTGACCCGTCCTCAGAACTGATGGTGGCTGGGAAAACGTCAGTTTATATGCAGAAAATAGGGAGGTGGGTGGGGTAGGGAGTAAACGATAGGATAGAGCCCAAAGAGAGAGAAAGACAGTTGGACAGACAAAGGAGTTGCTAACGATCAGGCTGGGAGGGTGAATAGTTGTTACTGGGGACTGTTAGTGACTAACAACAGGGGGTGTGTAGTGGCAGGCTATGTGGTAACAAGGCCTGGTGTATGGGATGGGGGGCTGGGACACAGGAGAGTTTAGGCCCTAAAATTATTGAACTCAATATTGAGTCCGGAGGGCTGTAGGGTCCCCAAGCGGAAAATGAGGTGTTGTTCCTCCAGCTTGCGCTGGGCTTCACTGGAACACTAGCAAGCCAGAGACAGAGATGTTGGCCAGGGAACAGGGTGGTGCATTGAAGTGGCAGGCAACAGGTAGTTCAGGGTCTTTTTTTGCGAGCAGAACGTAGATGTTCTGCAAAGCGGTCGCCAAGTCTACGCTTCGTTTCCCCAATGTAGAGGAGACCACATTGTGAGCAGCGAATGCAGTCGACTAGATTCTTGGAAGTGCGGGTGAAGTGTTGCTTCACCTAGAAGGTATGTTTGGGCCCTTGGATACTGGGGAGGGAGGAGGTAAATGCGCAGGTGTTGCACCTTCGCCATTTACAGGGGAAGGTGCCGTAGGACTGTGGGGAGGTGTTGGGAGGTGAAGGAAGTATGGACCAGGGTGTCCTGGAGGGAACGGTCCCTGCGGAAGGCAGACAAGGGAGGGGAGGGGAATATGTGTCTGATGGTGGCATCTTGCTGGAGGTGGTGGAAATGGCGTCTGATGATCTTCTGGATGCGGATGCTGGTGGGATGGTAGGTGAGGATAAGGGGAACTCTTATCGCTGTTGCGGGAGGGAAGAGAAGGGGTGAGGGCAGAAGTGTGGGAGATGGGTCGGACCTGATTGAGGGCCCTGTCGACAACGGAGCTGGGGAATCCTCTGTTGAGGAAGAATGTGGACATTTCGGAGGGTCCCTTGTCGAAGTTGGCCTCATCTGAACATATGCAACGGAGACGGGTTTCAATAATTTTAAGGCCTAAGCTGTCCCGTGTCCCAGCACCCTACCCCACACACCAGGCCTTGTTAACACATAGCCTGCCATTATACACTACCTGATAGTAGTCACTGTTAGTCCCCATTAACAACTATTCATCCCCCCAGCCATCATTATCAACTGTTTGCCCAACTGCTCTTCTCTCACTTTAGGCTCTATCCTATCGTTTACTCCCTACCCGATCCCCCTCCCCCTCTTTTCTGCATATAAACTGACATTTTCCCAGCCAGTATCAGTTCTGAGGAAGGGTCATCGGACCCAAAACGTCAACGCTGTTTTTTGCTTCACAGATGCTACCAGACCTGCTGAGCTTTTCCAACAAATTTGTTTTTGTTCCTGATTTACAGCATCCGCAGTTCTTTCGGTTTTTTTATTATGCTAGTGCTCAAGCTGTACTGAAACAGCCATTGCATTTCCAATATCATAACATTTACTGTAGCTTCCCAATTAACATTGGCCACCTTTCTCCAACCAGTAAAGTTTAGCTTAAGATCAGTTTTGGATTTAACTTTCAAACTGAAGATAAAATTTCTCACATTATGATTACTCTTTTTTTGAAGGTTTCTTTGTTGCAAATTTGCTATTTAACTGTCTCATTTTGTAATATTGCATTAAATGAATCATCTATTGTCCAGGTGATTCATTTAGGTTAATGGAATAGGATGGCAATCTTTCAATTCAGGCACGCAGTGCTAACATCAAACAGTCCCACATCAGGTCAGGCATAGATAATTGCAGTGTCCATTAAAAAAAAATGCAAATTACATGTTTAAATTCGAGGTCCATCTTTTTCATCCTGCTTTTAAAGCTATTTATCTCTAGTTTAGTTAGCAGGTCAGAGTCTATGAATACTGCAGAGAATAATTCACCTCCAGATTCTCCAAAGTGATGGAATTCTCCCCACTTGCCTGGACAAAGCAGCCTACATGATTGGCAACACATCCATAAGCATTCAGTAACTCCATCACAATGCTCACACTGTATTATCTACAAGATGTCCTGCATAAATTTGCCAAAGATCTTCAGACAGCGCCTTGCAAACCCATTTGCACTACTATCTAGAAAGATAAGGGCAGCAGGTAAACTGGAACAGTACTATCTGCAAGTTCCCCTTGAAGCCACCCACCATCTCGACTTGGAAACATATCACCGTTCCTTCACTGCCACTGGGGTAAAACCTTGAAATTATCTCCCGAAGGGCACTCTCAGCCCAATTACAGCTCATAGACTGCAGCGGTTCAAGAAGGCAGCTCACCATCACCTTCTCAAGGACAACTGAGAACAACCAGAAAATGCTGGCCAAATGCTCACGTTACACAAATGACCAAAAAGAAATGCAAACATGTGCATGTTCTAGTTTCCCTAAACAAATTGTTCCTGTGTTGTACTTGTCATGTTGGTTCTTCTGTTGGGATCTTTTCTGCAGTAATATGTGCCAGATTTCGAAACGAGCAATGATTATTTTTATTGAAACCTTTTCCAGGGGAAATTGTCAGAATTATTCTTTCTTGATTCTAGAATACTGAGAAATGTAAAATTAAATCATACAATGGTTACAGAATAATACTTCGCCATTCATCGTTTATGTCAGTGTCAGGTCTCTGCAGTAGGACCTCTCCGTATCCTCCCCATTCAGCCCTGCAGTATGTTGTCTTATAAAATTTAATGTACTCCATGCAAATAGCTGACATAGTGATTATCATTCTCCTTTTTCTGTTGAGCAGAGATAGCGCTAAAGTATCCTGTCAGTTAGCATGAACAATGAATTTCACAAAATATTTCCAACAAAATCAATTACGTTCTGAGCGGATATTCTCAGTAAACATTTTCACAGGCACCATTGGATAGCAATTTGAAACATGGCTCATTTAATTTTCCCTACTTAGTCTCAGAGATATTTGTAATCAACTTGTTCAGAGATGTTATGACACATCTCTGGAGCACGTCAGAATTGAACCTAAGCCAATTATAATCATGCAAAATGGCACTAATTAATCCAATGCTGACCAGAGATTGAACCAACAAATAATGTATTCACCCAGTAAATTCTTGTATAATCCATATTTTTGTATGCAGTCTTATTACACTACAATGTGTTGCAAATACCCCAAGTTTCTATTTAATGTTATGTCAGAATTTTCTCAACAGCCAGGCTCTAAAATTAATACAAAGTAATTCACAATTGTATCAAAAAAAAATTCTATGAACCAGTTAATAAGTAAAAAAACAACTACACTGATGTTAAACATTACCCAAAGAAATATACTGTAAATGCAGTCTAACTTGGAAATTAAGAAATCTTTTTTTAAATTTTTCTATAGCTTCTCCATGTCCTCTGAAGATTATTCCAAAGTTTTCTGCAAACGGCTTTCTAACATGTATATGTAAAACATCTGCGTTCTATCCTGATGATTACACTATTGCTTGGCGTAAAGATGGTCAAAATGTTGGAACGGGAATAAAGACATCCAGAACAAAGAATGCTGAGGGACTTTATGAAGTTACCAGTTATTTGGTAGAAACACAGCCGGTTCATCCTGGAACTGTTTATGTCTGTGAGGTATCACACTCTACCCTCAAGGATCCAACTAGGGCCAATTACACTGTTGGCATTCCAGGTAAGAACAATGCTTATTTAGTTGTGAAATTGAGCATGCTGTGGCTTTACTGCATTTGGTTGGAAGCGTTTTCACCATAAATGCCTGAAAGGCTGTAAGTGCAGGGCTGGTGATTTTGAAAAATTTGGTGAAATTGATCAAGCCTGATGGCCTGGTGTATCAACTGCAACTACCATCCTCAGTGATCCAATTTTTCACCAATTTTAAAGATTAATTTTACTCAATATATTTCTGTTGTAAAATCATCACAAGTAAACTGCAAAGTAAATCAAACAACAGCTTATTGATTACAAAAATACATTTGGGGAGAGTTTCCTCAGATCATTTCAAGAGGCACCTTGACAGTTCAAAAATTTCCTTGTCTATTTATGGGATATTCTTTGAACACTTCAATAGGATAATGTACCGTTATTTATACTTGCAGCTCCATGCATACATGGCCACACAGAAAATAAATCCATGACCCTTTATTCTTTTATTTTTCTCCTTCTCACATCTAGAATATCCCATCCCCTCCTTTACTGTGATCTTATCAACATTCCATACAACTGTTGTTTTTTTAAATAACGAATCTAATACATCAAAAAGATCAACAAGTTCGTCCCTCCAACATGAACCAGAGAACAAGATGCATATTAACTTTCCTAAGCAGCTCCCTAGCCCATCCCCGTAACCATCTGTGGGGATTCAGAAATTTCTCAATGTCTACATACTCAAAGACTGGGCTTCCACAGCCCTCTGTGATCGAGAATTCCATGGATAATCAACCTCTTGAGTAGAAAAAAAAGTTTATCTTCACCTCCGATCTAAGTGGTATCCCCCTTATTTTTAAATTGTGCCTCCTGATTCTAGACTCCCCTGCCAGGGGAAACCTGCATCTACACTGTCTATTCCTTTCAAGTGTTTTGTAGTTTTCAATGAGATCACTTCTCCTTGAGTGAAACTCTATGGAATGTAGGCCCAGTTTGCCCAATCTGTGTTTATAAGACAATTCAGCCATCCTGGAAAAAGTCTGGTGACACTTTGTTGTTCTCCCACTACGGAAATATTATCTTTCCTGAGATAACGAGGCCAAAACTGCACACGGTAGTCCAGGTGTGGCATTTTTATCTTTCAATCATTCAGGGGATGAGGATGTCACTGGCTGGGCCAGGATTTATTATTCATCCATAATCTAAACTAAATTCTTTCATAATTAAAGCAAAGGTTCACTAGTACACAAATCCTCTTTCAATAAAGGCTAATGTTCTTTCTGCCTTCCTACAAGCTTATTGTACCTGCATGTTAGCCGTCAGTGATTTATTGACAAGGACAGCTAGTCACCTTTGAACATCTACACATTCCAACCTCTCACTATTTAAGAAATACTCTGCACACCTTTGCTTCCTGCCAAAGTGGATAACCTGATTTTTTTTCCACATTTTATTCCATCTGGCACATTGTTGTCTAATCACAGCCTGACCAAATCCTCCTGAAAATGTTTCATATCTTCCTCTTAACACACATTCCTGCTTAGCTTTGTATTATCTGCAAATTTGAAAATATTACATTCGCTCCAGATAGCCAAATCATTTTCTGTATTGTGAACAGCTGGGCCCAGTAGTATCCCACTAATCTGTCTGTCAATCTGAGAATAGCCCACTTCTTCCTATATCGGCTAACACAGAACATAATCTCAAATCCATGCCAGTACATTACTTTCTGTACCATATGCTTTAATTTTTCAAACTAAATGTCTGTGGGAGACCTTACCAATAGCCTTCTGAAAATCTTAATGTAGTACAAACATTGCCTGCCCTTTACCAATTTTGCTACCAGCATCCTCAAAAAAAATCAACAAATTTGTCCATGCAGAATGCGACCAAACAAAGAATTTTTATTTAAGTATTCAGTTTTCATGCACTTTCTAATTGTAGCATTTCCCTGACTACTGAAGTAAGGCTGATAGGTCTGCAGTTCCAGGCAGATCTGATAATGCACTGTGATCAAAAGTCAACAAGAGGTTAGCACAATGAGCCAAAGCCTCACCGTGCTTTTCATTCACAGTATGTGAATATCACTGACAATATTTATTTCAAATTACCCATGGTATACTAGAAGGATAAGAATGAGTTACATTAATCTCGGTGTACGTATTAGCCTGAAAGGGAAAGGATGGCTTATTTCCTTTTCAGTAGGGGTTTTATGACAATTCAGAAGTTACTACATGGTATCATTTTTATGTTAAATTTAATTGATTAATTGAATGCTAATTCTCCTGCAGCTGTGGTGTAATTTAAATTCATATTTCTGTTTCAATAGCCCTGGCTTACTTTCCACTATGCTCATTGCTGCACACAAATTGGCCGCATGTTTAAATGTTTTTAACTGGCTGCAAAGCACTTTCAAAATCCCAAGGTTGCAACAGATATCATATATAAATTCATTAAGCAGGATAGATGGAAAGAAAGATTATCAAGAATTCAAATTAATCATGTGCTTTCTATTTAAATAACTAATAATTCAACATTGACTACTCTAGAATGTGTTAAGAAAATTTACTGTTGGACTGGTGTACATTGTAGTTACATTTCAAGTGACAAATCAAATTTCCAAGATCTATTCTGGAGATCTATTCTATTCTCTAGATCTTCTAGAGAAGTTATACTTGTGTTCTCTGCAAACATATTTGCAGTTTCTTTGAAAGTAAGAGCAATTAAATTTGTTCACAAAACAAATTACATATTTTTTTGCTACATTATTGCAAATGCAGTTTTCCAGCAGTATCATTATTTTTGTTTATCGTGGAAATATTTTTGCATTTTTCATATTTGAAGATAGTTTATTCTAGCTGAACAAAGATGAATGTTCTGAAGAATAATATTTTCTTTTTGTGCAAATATATCCAAGTTAAATATGATGTAGATAAGATGCAGAGAATAAAATTCTTACCTCATTTTTTGAAGAGCGCAGTCATTGAAGCATTCAATTCACCAATTTTTCACTTCTAGTCTTATGGATTCTGTACGTGATATAACCAATCTATTGCTATTCTGAACCAAACTGTGTAGGAACTGCATTCAAATGTTCAAACCCACATCTAACGTACTTGAGGAAGTTTATATGTTTGAAGTAGTGTTATGGCCCACATTGGAATGTTGGATGTGAAGCCTGCCGTGCTGTTATTGCGCAGGCAACTTAAGTTCACAATATCATCTGTAAAGCGCCATCAGAATAACCTGGAGTCTCAGAGTTAAGTAAGCATCTGTTGTTCTAACACACCAGTGTTTTTCTACTAAAATTGAATACCTTTTTTCTTTTGTGTGTTTCTTGCAGATCGTAGTTTCAGTGAATCTTTTCCTTGGTGGATCTACATCTGTGTAGCAATATCTGCACTGATTCTGACTATTATTGTGGTGGTCATTTGTCGTAAATGCTGTAAACGTAAAGGTAAGTAACCATCTAGTTACATTAAAGTTAGAACTTCTAGATTTAATATTAATGAGTAATGCAAATACACAAAGACAACAAGTTGAAAAGTTTTACTCTGGAGAAAGAAAGGGAGGCTAGAGAAGGCAGGGAAATAAATTTTGATGTTTTAAAAAATAGTTTACATTACAGAAGCGGAAGTTCTGGAGGTCTTAGAGAATATTAATGGTGGATAAGACCTAAACTAATTTATGCCAGAACATTGTGAGAAGTAATTGCATGACCTCTTGCAGAAATATTTGCATCATCTATAACTATGGGTGAGGTCCCTGATGACTTGAGGCTGGCTAATCTTGTACCTTCGTTTAAGAAGGGTTGTAAGGGAAACTAGGAACTTTAGACCTGTGAATCTGACTTTGGTTGTGGGTAAATTGTTAGGGGTGATTGTAAAAAATAGGATTGTAAGAAAGCAGGATAGATAGGGAAAAAAAAAATCAAGAACCCAAATTAATCATGTGATTTCTTTTTAAATAATTAATAATTCAACATTTGACTACTCTAGTATGTGTTAAGAAAATTTACTGTTGGATTGAAGCATGTCATAGTTACATATCAAATGACAAATCACATTTTGAAGATCTATTCTGTTCAGAGCTTCTAGTGAAGTTACACTTGTGTTCTCTGCAGACATATTTGCAATTTCTTTGGAAGTAAGAGCAAAGTATTCACAAACAAATTACATATCGTTTGCTACATTATAGAAAATGCAGTTTTCCAGCAGTATCATTTTTGTTTATTATGGAAATACTTAGAGAGGTAAAAGTTGATTAGCGACAGTCAGCATTGTTTTGTGTGAGGAAAGTCGTGTCTTATAAACTTGATTTGAGTTTTTAGAGGAAGCTACCAAAAAGATTGTTGAGGGCAGAGCAGTAGATGTTGTCTATTTAGGTTTGAATGAAGCCTACAACAATCTTCTATATGATAGACTAATCAGTATAGTTGGGTCACATGGGATTCCGAGTGAGCTTGCCAATTGGATACATAATTGGCTTAACAGCAGGAGACAGAGTGGTGGAGGAACGTTGTTTTTCGGACTGGAGGCCTGTCACCAGCAGCATTCCACAGGGATTGGTTCTGGGTCCTCTTTTGTTTGTCATTAATATAAATGATTTGGATGAGATGATAGAAGGCATGGTTGCAGATAACACCAAAATTGGTGGTGTAGTAGGCAGTGAAGATGGCTTTTTTTAAGATTACCGACAGATCTTGATCAAATGGGTTAGAGGACTGAAAAATGGCAGATGCAGTTCAATCTGGATAAAGCGAGCTGTTGCATTTTGGTACCACAAACAGGGGTCGGACTTATACAATTAATTGTAGGGCTGTAGAACAGAGAGATCTACGGGTTAAGGTACACAATTCTTTGAAGTTTGTATCACATCTGGACAAAGTGATTAAAAAGATGTTTTCACACACTTGCCTTCATTGCTCAGCCCTTTGAATAATAGGAGGTGGGAAGTCATGTTGAGGTTGTACAGGACATTGGTGAGGCCTCTTCTGGAAAACAATGTTCAATTTTGGTTGCCTAGTGATAGTAAGGATATTATTAAACTGGAGAGGCTTCAGAAGCGATTTACCAGGATATTGCTGGGTGTGGAAGGTTTGAGTTACAAAGTAGGCTGGGACTTTGCTCACTGGAGTGTAAGAGGCTGAGAGGTGACCGTATAGAAGTTTATAAAATAATGAGGGGTATAGATAGGGTTAATGGTAGGTGTAAAAGCAGAAGTTGCTGGAAGCTCAGCAGGTCTTGGCAGCATCTGTGAAGAAAAATTCAGAGTTAATGTTTTGTGTTCAGTGACCCTTCCTCAGAACTGGATTCTGAGGAACGGTCACTGGACCCAAACATGAACTCTGATTTTATTTTCACAGATGCTGCCAGACCTTCTGAGCTTCCAGCAGCTTCTGTTTTTGTTCCTGATTTACAGCATCCACAGTTCTTTCAGTTTTTAACGTTAAGTGTCTTTTCCCTAAGATAGAGGCTTTCAAGACTTGAGGGCGCATTTTTAAGGTGAGAGGAGAAAGATTTTAAAGAAAGACGTAGGGGCACATGTTTCACAGAGTTTGGTTTGCATGTGGAATTAACTTTCTGAGCAAGTTGTGGATGTGGGCCCAATAACATAATTTAAAAGACGTTTGGATAATTACGTAAATGGGAAAGGTTTGGAGGGATATAGACCGGAAGCATACAGGCGGGGCTACTTTAGTTTGGGATAATGTTGGCATGGACTGGTTAGACCAAAAGGTCTATTCCCATGCCATATGACCCTCAAAACTGTAATAAATCTCTTCTCTGAAGAAGGGTCCTAACCTGAAACGTCAACTTTCATGCTCCTCTGATGCTGCCTGGCCTGCTGTGTTCCTCCAGCTCCATACTGTGTTGTCTCTGACTTCAGTATCTACAGTTCTTGCTATCTCTGATAAATCTGCAGTAGCTCATTTTTGGATACATAGTTAACATTTTATACAATTTACTTTTGAGTTCATTAATGTAAAGTGTGTTAGTGAACAGAAAACTTTTGTTGTAAGCACCAAGAACATCCAGATTAGGTGAGTACATTTAAAGGCACAGTAATGTTTTGCCTTCTCTCCACATGGATAGAATACAATTCAAAGGATTAGATTTTCGGATGCCTATGGGGCAAGATTAGCTGTGGAGGTGCTTTGGAAATGGTATACACAGATGACTTTTTACACTGCAACTGGAATGCATTGTCATCTTTAAAGATGGTAGATTTGGAGGACCTGACAAACTGCAACCCTTCAGTTCATAACACAAGAATGAGGGGCAGACATAGATTATCAGGCTCATTGAGTCTGCTCAGCCATTCAGTAAAATCATTGCTGATCTTTGGCTTCAATGCTATCTTTCTGGCAGCTTGCCTTATTGCTTGATGTCCTGAGAGATCAAAATCTATCTAGCTAAGCCTTAGATATTTTTAAACGTGTAGCATCCTCAGCCCTCTGGGAAGCAAGTTTCCAAGATTCACGACCCATACCAAGCAAAGACTATGGGAGATAGTCTGTTTAAGGTTAAGGCCAACAGAAAGGTAGTGCAGAACTCTGCCATCACTTGCAAATACATTTTACCTCAAAACAGATTTGCAGGGATAGTAACAGTCAGTTGTGTCGTAAAGCTAGTCTGGATGGCTTTGACAACCTGCTTGCAATGCTGGTCTATGGCAAGATGATAATGTAATACAGGGGGCAGTCATCTCTTGACCATCTCGTGCAACATCACCACAAGTTAGGCAGCAAGCATATAGCAAAATATTATTTCCATGGAGAGAGACTGCAGAATGCTTATGGCACAGAAGGATCTGAGTTTTTGTGTGTACAAATCAAAAATAGTTAATGCAATAGATACAACAGATAATTAGAAAGGCAAATAGAATGTTAGCCGTTATCACAAGTGGTGTGGGCTATAAAAGTATGGAAGTCTAGATGTAGATAGCAGAGTGTGGAGCTGGAGGAACACAGCAGGCCAGGCAGCATCAGAGGAGCAGGAAAGCTGACATTTCGGGTAGAGACCCTCCGTCAGCAATGGGGGAGGGGCAGGAAAGCTGACGATTCGGGTCAGAACCTTCCTGACCTGCTGTATTCCTCCAGCTCCACGCTGTGTTATCTCAGACTCCAGCATCGGCAGTTCTTACTATCTCGAAGTCTAGATGCAGCTGTGCAAAGTACTGATAAGACGCATGGAGTGCTGTGTACAATTTGGTTTCATTACTTTAGCAGGATGTTGGGGAGAGAGAGATGTCAAAGTGAAGTCTCCAGTCCTGTGTCTAGCAGCACAAGTCAGTCTTTATTCAGAATTCTTCACCGTGCAGCATGGGAGTGGAATAGGTCTATTCTGCCCTTTCCACTCAAGTACAGCATTTTTGAATATTTTGCATTACAATGATTACATACAAGATTGATTTTGTTATTAGCCATGTGCCCCCAATCTATGCATCCAATCCTGCAAACACACAATCAGTGATTGACATCTCTGTGGACAGCTGAAGGTCTTCCCATGATCTCACGACATTCCCAGACATCTTTATCTCTCATCTTTGGAATCTTACAACGGATGCTCCATTTATTCATATTTCAATATACTGATTACCACCCTCCTCAGGTGCTTGCCAGCTGCATCGCATTAATTAACAATAATTTATCACTAAGGACCTTTCACATTCTGTTATGCAAACTATTTTACTTCTGTCAATATAAAAGATACAAAAGGATGGTAATTTCTACCAGTTATTCTGAAATTTGTACTATCACTTAAAATAAACAGTTAGTTAGGTGTATAAAGTTTTGTATAGTTACACCGAATCTTGAAGTTCTTTAACAAGGCTAACAAATTGGGGAGATCAAACATACACAGTCTTTTTATTTTGCAGCTGTGAGTTGGTTCAAGACGCCCACACTCCTCCCCTCATTGTCTTTACTTCAAATACCTTTCACATAAGTTTCCTCACCAACTAGCATATATTCAAACTCCGTTCCTAAGGATGAAATTCAATTACTTTCACAGCTTTTTGCATGCAGAGCTGTGAAGCTACAATTGTTTATTTTCCATTTTACAACCTCTTTTGCTCTCTTAGAGGTTGATTGTTTACACCATTTGTTGCTCTGTCTTCCCTGCTGATGAGGAGATGTCTTTTGACTGGCTATGTTTAGCTGCTTATAAGAATTCAATTAAATCCTTATATGGATACTTTAAGGTTTACACCTTTATCTTCACACCGCTCATACGCCTATGTTTAATATGTAATGACTATTACCCAGACACACTCTAGATTATTTTGGGATCAGACTTTTCTTTTGACTTTTGTTAAACTATAAACTTTGGACTGGTTGTGAATCAATATCTCTCATGTAGATTTTTCAAGGATGCTTTCTTATCAAAAATGCTTGTGCGCTTAGAGCTGCCTGTCTACAGAAATTTAATTAAATTCATGAATGTCTAATATGGTAAAAATAAAACTAACACTATTATTGTACAAATATACATCTCTGAGAGTGTATTTTGTGTAAGTTACAATACCTGAATTTTTTTTTTAACTACATGGGTCCAGATTCCCCTTCTGCTCCATATTAAATGGAGCTTTTACAGTAGTTTGCTAAAAAGCTGCTCATCTGTGCCTCCCTTATGAGGGCTGCCTCAATGCTAACACTCCCCTGTCTTGTCTCACTGAGATATTTCATTGTCTTATCCAGTGACCTTGAATAGAAGCCACAAGTCTGGCTGTGAACATCTGCTGAATGTAACTGTCAACCCGTTTTGTCCATCTTTTGTCAGCTGAAAAACCCCAGGTGGCCAGCTTGTCAACTTCAGTTTTGGGCAGTTGCAGCACAGGATATACTTACAATGGAAGAAGTAGAGAAAAAATTTACTCAATTTAATCCTGGTATGTAAGGCTTGTTTTATGACAGAACATTGAACAGGTTGGACTGTTCTCATTGGATTTTAGAAGAATGTAATGTGATGTTATTAAATCATGTAAGATTCTGAGGGTGGGTTTACAGAGTGGATCTTGAAAATATGTTACCCCCCATAGGAGAATCAAGAACAAGGGTCACAGTTTAAAAGTATTGGGTTTCTCATTTAAGATGGAGATGAAGAAGATTTGTTTTTCTGTCAGAAAGCAATCTAAACTTTGGAATTCTTTACTTCGAGATCTGTAGCGGTTAGATCATTGAATATATTTAAGACTGAGTTAGACAGACTTTTGATCTATGACGCAGTCAAATGTTAATGGCCAAGTTGAGCTATTGGGGTTGGGGGACAGTGATTTGTAGTCGAGAAGTGGAATTAAAGTCTCAATCAGATTAAGATTGATTTTATTGAATGCTGGAGCAGGCTTGAGAAACCAAACAGTCTACTCCTGCTCCTGTTTCATATGTTCTATTGAAGGGGTGGGTGTTAGTATCCCTGCCATTTGCTTGCAGGCTCATTGCTACACCTGGGGTCCCTTTCCCTTTATTTTTCATTCTGTTTCTTAATTCTTTTTCTCAAAGTCTTGCCAAGGATTTCTAAGTGTTTGAATTGCTTCTTAGCTTTCTGAATATTTGTCGTCTATTGTGACACAACCCTTAATTATTCCTTTCAATCTCTGTTACGTAAATTTTCCTCTCCCACCATTACTAACCTTTTGCACCTGTTTAACTCAACATTTCTTATAAATAATTATGCAGATGAATTCATGACAGAACTTCCAGTGCAACAAATAAATTGGTTCTCAATTTTTCAGAGAGCTACTTTTATTTATGTTACTTGCAATCAAACAAAGTCTAGTCTCTTGTTTGTTCAATCTGTAGACCTTCATGCACTGAACTATTCATCTTCATTGTTCACTGAGTCTGTAAGACTTGAGCATGAAATGTTTCAAGAAGGTTACGTCCACTTTCAGATTGAATATGTATGTTATCTTCAACAATTCCATGTTTTAAATATTATCTTGGATTCAATCCTATTGCTATATTAAAATAGCCTCCTTTAAGTCTCAGCATACAGTTTAACCTCTTAGGACATTGTTTTCTCCCGGTTGTCTCCAACTGTGTTCTGATTTGTTTGTCTTTGTAAGATACTACAATGGCTATTTATCTACTAAATTCTCATCTGTTTAACCTAATTTCCAAATAAGCCAACATTCATACTGAAACCCCTTCCTTAAACATTATTTTGTTGAAGTACACACTCTGACCATTTCCTCCATTGTTAACTACTTCATTCTAATAGCTGAAACCGTGGAACTCACTACCCCGATAGTCTTTGCTTCCTCTTAAAAATCAGAAGGACTTGAAAGCCAACTTTTCACATTGACTAATTGCTACTTCCTTAAACTGGATTGTTTCACTTTTACTGACTCCAACTTTAGTTGTATCCTGCAGTGAGTCTTAGTCTGTAAATTTCTTTCACCAACTTATAAAGTGGTCTTTCTGCTGTCACAATATTGTTCTTAAATTTTATTTTGCATTCCTTCAGGTTATGAAATAAAAATCCATTGAATGAGCAGAATGGAAACCAAATCCCATAGGTTTGTTTGAAATGACAGCTGATTTATTTCAGCTGTTAATTCATTTTTCAGTCAAAATCTATAGAATCAAAAATATCTAATGTTCCATTTACCATTGGCTCATAGCTCAAAATGTCTCAAGTTAATTATAATTAATATTTGTAATTAATGTAGTCTGATTTTTAATTTTTGCATTTAGTTTTTCTCCTGCATCTGGAGGGCTATTGAGACTTGATCATTAGTTATATTCAAGGCTGTGGTAGACAGATTTTTCATCTCTGAGGGAATCAAAGGTTTGAGTGATGATATTAGCTGGTAAACTCCCAATGAATCTGCATACACAGGGAGGCCAAATGTAGGTGGTCATCAAAAAGCCCCTGATCTTCATCTCCCAAATCTGCATTGGGTATCGACAAGGCAGCCACTAGTCAGTGGACTGAGTGAAGTGTCGTTGTGGCCATGCATATTACATCAAATTGCTCACTAAGGTCTGTTCACTATCTGGCATTTCTGGAGACCATTGAATGGATAACCAAGCCAGACATCATAATACAAACTTGTCCCATGATATGATAGTAGTAGTTGTATGGAGAACTTCAAGAATATTAGCCAGCATATCCTTGATTCATGTTTGTAGAAATCTTCATGCTTTAAAGATTCTTGAGCAGCAAAAAGGAGGTTTTTAAATAATTGGTTCTTTTTATATAGATGTTAGCTTTTTATTCTTTCATGGGATGTGACATCACTAATACGGCCAACATTTGCAGTCTGTCCATTTTTGCCCATGATAAACTGGTAGTATGTCAGATTTTTGAACTGCTGCAGCTTATTTGATATAGGCACACCACTGCTTTTTGGAAAGGAGTTCTAGGATCTTGATTATTGATAGTGAAGGAACAATGATATAATTCCAAGGGAGGACGGTGTGGAGGGGAACTTGCAGGTGGTGTTCTCAATGGTCTGTTACCTTGTCGTTATAGATCATAAAAGTTGCAGATTTGGATGGTGCTGTGAGTTGCTGAGTGTTTCTTTCATATGGTACACATTGCTGCTACTGTTGCTTCCACTTTATGGTGCACACGTTATCAATTTTGTGGGGAGCGAATCTTCAGTTTGGTGAATGGGCCACTGAACCTGGCTTTTTTTGTTCTGGATTGTGTCAAGTTTCATGAGTGAAAATGCTGCAACACACGTTCAGACAAGTGGAGAGTATTCTGTCACACACCTGAATTGGGAAATGCAGACAGTGGACAGGCTTTGAAGGGTCAGGAGATGAGTTCCTTGCTGCAGACTTCCAAGCCTCTGATCTCCTTTTCTAGCTATAGTACTTACATGGCTGGTACAGTTCAGTTTCTAGGCAACATTAATTTCTAGGTTGTTGAAGTGGGACATTAATTAATGCTAATGCCTTTGTATTTCAAAGGGAGATGGTCAGAAATCACGCGACACCAGGTTATAGTCCAACAGGTTTACTTGAAATCAGAAGCTTTCAGAGTGCTGCTGCTTCATCAGGTGAAGACGATACCTGACGAAGAAGCAGTGCTTTGAAAGCTTGTGATTTCACATAAACCTGTTGGACTATAATCTGGTGTCATGTGATTACTGAACTTGTCCACCCCAACACCGGCACCACCACATTATTGGAGAAGGTTATTGCTTGACATTTGTGTAATATGACTGTTACTTGCCATTTATTCATCTGTTAAAATGTTACATCTATTAAAATGGAAATGGTCCTCTGTTTTGTAAATTAAACAAATTGATATCTGGTTTGTAGGTTAATGCATGCATTCATAATGTATACATAAAAACAAAGTGTTGTAGAAACTCAGCAGGTCTGACAGCTTCCCTAGAGAGAAAAACGGAGTTTATGTTTTAATTCCCTTATGATTCTTTTGAAGTTCTGAAGGAGAGTCATATTAGAGTTAAAACATTAACTCTGTTTCTCTCTCCACAGATGCTGCCAGACCTTTTGAGTTTCTTTGGGCCTTTTTGTTTACATTTCAGATTTGCCAGCATCCATGGTGTTTTGCTTTTGTTTGAAGCTACGCATTGGCTAGATTTTCTGTTTTGTAATATGCCATGTAAGACCATTCCTGCTCTTCTTGAAATTGTGTTTTGGGATCTTTTATGTGCATCTTAAAGAGCAGATGAAGCTTTTTATTAACGTGCCACCCAATGATGGCACACCATACATTGCAGCACTTGCTTACAATGACATTTCAGTGTAGATTATACACCCAGAATCTTTCTAGTTAACTGTGATACAACATGTGAAAAAACAATTTGTCATGAACTCATAATTATGGGAATTAATCTTCGTCATGAAAGATAATGAATGCTGAGTATCAAATCAAAATAATGCTGCAGGAGATTAATTGATCACCGTGTTATTACTGTTTCAAAAGGCAACTCTGTTGGCAACTTGACTGTGTGTATTCATAAAATGGTGACTGCACTTGCAAAAGTATTTCATAGGATGTGGAGTATTTTGGGATGATGTGAAAGTTACTATATAAATATAAGTTATTTTTAGAAAATGTGTCCAGTCATTAATTTGACAAAACAAACACCATATCTTGACTGACAGGTATTCCAGGTAATAAAGTTGTCAGCATGACAAATGTGTTCCAGATATACTGCTCCTTATATTTAATGTTGTTTTTTCTTATAGCTCCTAAAGGTAATATTCGAACGAGACAATGTGTTCGATGCTCTGAGCCAATACCAATGAATCCCAAATGCAAAGAACAAGGATTAAGAAAAAATAATCGTTCAACGCCAGCTGTGAACCCAAGAGCTGGACCAAATGTTAATGAAACTGCATCAAAACACAAGAAACACCGTAAGAAGGAGAGGGACCCTGAGTGTCCTTGATGGTTAAAGAAGCAATCTGAAGTGTATTTTATAATGACCATAGGTTCTCTTTGGAGAGCACCAACATTGTTATGGGCAGCATACATTCATAAATGAGGTTATGAGATAATCCAGGGGAGTTGCAAAGTCAGAAAGTTTCTGTTTTTAACTGTATTTGTTAACTCACTAAACTTTACTTTTCTTCTGTAAGTCAATATCTCCAAATTGATAATACCCTTATCTCTGATCAATTTTGATAATTAGGCCAACATCTTCACTGGGTGTCCACTGTTTTCTGTAATCATTGTGAGTTCATTCATTTTTTTTGAAGGAACCCCATATTTAGGAAAGTACAACGAACAGAAATCTAATTTAATGCTTGTTCCCCAGCCACACTCATTCTGTGTATCTTCAAGAAGTTATAGAATAAATTGCCTCATTCATATCCAGGATACAGAGTTTGAATCCACCATTGATAGCCTGTAAATAAAATTTCAGTCTTTATTCATTACCCCTTCTGTGGAATTCAAGCACATATTCGCCCCTGCTTTCGATAATTTGGGAATTGTTTGACAATTTAAAATAGGTGATAGGCAAAATGGCCTGCCAATTCCCTATCTCAATTTATATTTACCCAGACTGTAGAAAATCCAAGCAAGAGCTTCTACAGGTATTGATAAAGGAAAACAAAGTCAGTGAAGCATATGTTGGTCCTCTAGCGATTGAGAATTAGGAGTTAACAGTTGATACTAAGGAAATAGTGGTCAAAATTAACAAATATTTTGCTTCTAAATTCACTACAGAGGATAAAGAAAGCGTTGCAGTAATAGCTGTTAATCAGAAGGTGAAGAGAAGAGGGAAACTTCATGAAGTTACAATTACAAAGGAGGCAGTGCTGAGAAAACTGTTAGAGCTGTAGGTTGATTAGGCTTGGATTTCGTCCTGGGGTCTTAAAAGCGGAAGCTAATGTGGAAGTTGGTGTGTTTGTGTTAGTTTTTTAGAATTCTCAAGATGCTGGAAAATTTCATCAGACTAGAAAGTAGCAAACAAAATGTCTGTACTCAAGAAGGGAGGGATGCAGAGAAAACTGGAACTACCGGCCAGTTAGCTTGACATCCATCATGGCAGAAGATGTTACAGTACGACATCAAGGAGATTATAGCTGGGAAATTAGGAAAACACAGGATAATGCATGAAAATGAGATTGGCTTTGTGAAGAGTGGTTATGTTTAATCAATTTATTGGAGTTCTTTGAAGTAGTAATATGACTAAAATCTACCCATTGATGTACTTTTCTTGGATTTCCAGAAGGAGGTTGGCCATGTGCCACAAAAAAGATTCTTGTGTAAAGTAGGAATGAATTGTATAGTGATTACATCGATGGCTAACATGGATAGAAGATGAGGAGCTGGCAGGCAAAAATAGAGAATGCTTTCATGCATCTTTTTCTGATTGGCTGGATGTGATGAGTGGGATTCTGTATTAGTTTATGCTGGGACTTGATCTTTTTACAGTTCATATCAATGACTTAGATGAGGGAAGTGAAAACCTGATAGTTATGTTTGCATGTGACTTAAAGATATTCAGAAAATTATGTTGTAAAGAGGATATAAGGAACTTGCAATCAGAAATTCATGGATTGAGTGAGTGGGCAAAAATCTGACAGATAGAGTATAATGTGCAAAACTGTGGAGTTGTTCACTTTGGCAGATAGAACTTTAAAAAAAAATGCCGTGTTCTATTTAAATGGAGAATGACTGGACAATTCTGACGTGGGGAGGGATCTAGGTGCCCTAATATGAGTCATAAAGTTAGTTTGCAGGTATAGCAAGTAATTAAGACGAATGGAATGCTATCCTGAAAAATTTAACATTAAACAAGAATGTTATGCTTCAGTTACTCAGGGCATTGCTGAGACCACATTTTAAGTATCATGTGTAGTTTTGGTCTCTTTATTTGAGGATGTAAGGATGTTAGAGATATAAATGTATTGGAAGTAGTTCAGAGGAGATGTACTAGATTGATACCTTGAATATCCACATTATCTTGTACGGTTATGTTCGACAGGCAGCACTTGTTTTCACTGGGGTTTCGAAGAGTGAGGGTAACTTGAATGAAGATGACTTATTTTTCTCTGAGTTCTTGTTCTGCAACTTTTGTAATCTCAGCCTCAAAAAGTAATCAAACCAGGACCACTGGATTTTTTTAGGGCAGCATTAGGTAGACTCTTGTGAGATGAATAAATCAAATGTTATTGAGGGTATAGAGGAATGTTGAATTCTAAACCAACAAACCAGCCTTTAACTTATTGAGTGGTGAAGCAGGTTTGTGGAGCTGAATGGCCTTCTACAACAATTTCATACATATATATGTTCTTATTTTCAGCCAATATTTGGAGTTTTATTCAGTCTTTCACATGCAACGTTGAGAATTCAACTGACTCTTCAGGTACTATATATTGCACAACATTTCATTACCCTAGTCATATACACTTTGTTGAATTTTTCAGTTTTCTTTTTGTGCTCAATAGAGTAATTCTTTTACCTTATTAGTACCATGTGCACAGAATTCCATTACCCATTTACATCACTGTCCAGAATTCTCTACTCTCTCTCTTTTCAGTATGCAGGATCCAGTGCTCAGTTTTTTTTTTAATCAAATTTGACTATCAATTTCTATCATCAAATATACACATTTTATTGCATTCTAAATCTTCATGTTGCAACTGCTTACATTGTTATGTTAAGAAATATTATACCGTTACACTAAATTTAAAATTGCAATCATTGTCAGAGATAACATACTAGGTAATCTTTATAATTTTTAGAGAGCACAGATAAAATAGCATTTTACAATCTGTTCACTTTAGCAAAGGGTCAATGTGCAGACCGCTGGAATTTAAGTTGGTAGAACAGGATAGTAGAAATCTGGAAGTCACTGTCTTAAAGGTGTTTGAGAAAGCAAATTACACACTTGACAATCATTTGGATGCCTGTTTGAAGAACTGTGATCTGCAAGACTATGAAGCATATACAGCAATGTGGGATGAGGCTGAGTAACTTCTCGTTGATTGGCACAGTCAAGATGGGTTAAGTTTTTTCCTTCTGTATCACAAATTTTCTCTGATGCTATGCATATTATTTTTATATTCTGGTGCATGTATCATTAGTACATTATTTACACTGCTATCTTGTACCAAATATAATTTGTTATAATCAATTATATTTCAAATACATACCTTTGTCTAATACTGTTATGGTAATTGAACAAAATAATAAAAAATATAATCAACTTTGTTTCAAAAATGTGTCAGTGATGAAATATGCTACAAGAATTCACAAATAAAAACAAAGCGCTGGAGAAACTCAGCAGGTTTGGCAGCCATCTGTGGGGAGAAACAGACATAACAGCTCAACCTCAGTGTTATTCTTCTCCAGAAGAACTGTATTCAGGACTCAATGTTAACTCTGTTTCTCTCCGCACAAATGCAGCTGGACCTGTTGATTTTATTTCAGATTCCCAGTATCCACAATAACTTGCTTTTATTTACAAGAATTCAGAGCCAGCTTTTTGGTTGCAGTAAGTAGTCCCTCAAAGGTTTTCACTATTCTTTAGTGAATAGTGATAATGCGATAAGGGATTGAAAAGAGAACGTTAGAAATTGAGTAAATTGGAAGTCCACGAAGTGGGTGGAGAGGCTTTGTATAGTCTTAGGGTAACCACAGTCGCTGAATTGGAAAATACCGATCCAGGGCAATGTCAGCAGAGGAACTGACAGACAGGAAATTCAAACCAAGTTCTTTGGGATATTGACTCCAGAATAAAGAGCAATGATCAATTAATTGATGTATAATTTATGCAAAAAAGAAAGTTGCTTTCATCTGTGAAACATACTTTATAAAAGCCTACTTTCGGTGCAAGTTAATAACCCATTACTATTTGTTCCATCTCATTCCACAGAAATAAAAAATGGTCCTGGATTATACTGATTACTTTCTTACCTGAGTGGTGGAATTTTCCTCTGAGTCAGTGGTTTCAAGATTGACATCAAAGCAGATTTAAATAGCTGTGCACTTTCTCAAATTTGTCAGCCTACTGTGATTGGCAATAGAATCCTATTTTTTAACCTGAAAATGTACGATAGATTTGTGTTAATGATAGCTTCTAGAGATCAACTGAGTCATTGAATCTGGAAGATTCCTTTTCTGCCTAAGTCCCACCTCACTGTCTGATTTACAGCCCAGTTAGATATGTTGTTAGATGGAAAGACCGTGGGGCGGAATTTTTTGGATGGTGGGAGCTTTTGTGACCTGCCTCCTGAAGTATCTGCAGCATGTGCACTTTGCTGAAATGGGCTGCCCTACAGACAATTGATGCTCCAAAGAGCATTAATTCATTGGTGAGGAACTTTTACACTTCACTTAAGAGGAACTCCGTGACTGGCAACTCTGTAGTCTCAGCAACACCATTAGAGGTAGTGGCCAGGACTGGGACTGCAAGCAGGACCAGATAAGTGGGGGTGGTGTCATGGCAACTAACTGTTATGAAATAAATTAAAGTCCTCTCTGACCATGGGCATTGGAGTGGGGTTTTTGGGTAACTAAGAGCACAGAGTGGGGCTTCTATGGCGACTATATTTAGAAGAAACAAAGGTAAGAGGCAAAGCACGGAGTCCTACAGACTGCCATTGAAATAAAAGGGAAGAAGGCATTCTTGAGTGATGTAGGATCAAGGACACTTCCTTAAAATAAAGGTCAGTTGGTCACCCTTATATACATGGGGGTAGGGAGAGACTGATGCAGGCATTGATAGACTAGCCTGGGAATTTGGAAGAAACAGTCATGCTGGACATAGTTTGTCTGGGAGGTGAATACCTGCTGTGGAAAGCAGGCTATTGAGGGAGTTGAAAGCCATGACCCACCTGAGAACTAAACTGAATGTGTGCATCCCCATTACCTTAAACACTACCTGCCAACCTCAAAATTAAGGTTCCAGAAAAACAATCCTAAATGGCCATCAATTGACAACTTAAGAATCTCAATTGTTGAAAGAAGTGGGGCCAGGATAAGCTTCATCCATCTCTGATATTCCTGACAGTGTGTTGGATAGAGGGCTGTGACAGGCTATTCTTGGAATTCTGTGTGCACATCAGCCTGCAAACCCACTGAGGGAGAGCTGCAACCTCTGCCCTTTAGACACTCACTTAAATGCCTTCTTGAAAGCTCTGAGATGTTACTTTCATAAGTTCCAAATTCTAGCATTAATGCTGCCACTGTTAGTGTTAATGTGCTTTGTCCATGTGAATACAAAAGCCACCTGATATGACTTGCAGAGATAGTAGGAACTACTGATTCTGGAGTCTGAGATAACCAGGTGTAGAGCTGGATGATCACAGCAGGCCAGGCAGCATCAGAGGAGCAGGAAAGCTGACTTTTTGGGATTGGACCCTTCTTCAGAAAATTCATTTTCTGAAACTTCAGCTTTCCTGCTCCTCTGATGCTGCCTGGCTTGTTGTGTTCATCCAGCTCTACATCTTGATATGACTTGCAGATGGGTTTGCGACTGGGTGAGCATCTAGTATATTTTTATTTGAGGTTGCTTTAAACTTTCAAAATAAGTTCCTTTGCTGATCCGAGCATCCAGTTTCTAATTTTGAGATGTCATTCAGTGAGCATTATTGAACACATTCCATCAATATTAATGGTATTCATTCAACTGCCTTTAATTATCAATTGGATGTCACTGAATATGTGGTGAAATAAACTTTAATCTTTTGTGAGCCCAGGAATAGTAGTTAAGCACCTTCTGTGCCCAAACTATTTTGTCACTTGGTTGGCTATGTGAATGCCATTGACTGCAACATCAACCCCACTCCCCACACCTCCCCACACCCCATTTTCCACATTTTCCTGCACAGCAATTGCTCAACACAGGAGCCAATGGATTGCCTATCCTTGTGTAACTGGCAAGCTGTACCATTAGTATCCCTCCACTTGCACCTAAATGAGGTCTAGGCCTAAAGATCTTTGCTACTGTTTTGAATGAAAGTTGATGATTGTCCCTGTTATACTTCAGGTGGCTTCTTCTCTCAGATACACTTCAACAGCCTGCCAACTACTGATGTTATTTCCATTTTTCACTGATTACCCAATCCATTTATGGGATGGGATTGGAAATAAACTTTAATCAATATCAATCTCAGGTACCCTAGAATGTGCTGAAGTTTTTGAACAGCATAATTGGATCTATATTGTGCATTCAACAATTGGCTGAAGTTGTTCTTTTCAGAACCAGTAGACCAAACTACTAAGTGCCAGTTTGCTGAAGGGACATGCCCTTCAAGCCCCTTCTGACATAATACATCCTCTTGAGAAGGATAACCACTTTGGCGATCTCTGGTGACACTGAATGGCTGGTATTACAAAGCCTAAATGCTCATTTGAATCCAAATGAAGTGAACGTTTGCACTACATTGCAAGCTACCAGATGTTAAGCTACATGACTGTGCCCTGCACTGGCATTTCTTAAGTAACTAGAGAGCCAAGTTGTAGGTAAGATGTTTGTGAAACATTTCTGCTATTATAATGTGTGTGGAGTAATCTAGAATTATTTTGGATATGTTGTGGGTGCTTAGATTTCCAGAGAGTGTTGCTTCATCCCTGTTGGGTGGAGGAGGAGGAGGAGGAATAGCTGACCATTGTGCATGAGTTAGGTTGACAGCTGTGGAGGTGTGATGCTGCCACAGAGGCAACAAGATGTTAGATCCAAGGCTATGTGGAGGTCAATTTTGCTTGATACCCTCTATTATGATCGGGGCAGACTCTGCCATGCTCCTTACATGCCAGGAAATGCACCAAGCAGCTCTCTCCATTAACACTTTGATGGCTTACTCAGTCCTTAAGTTTCAAATGTGAGTCCTCTGTAACACAAAGTGTCTCCAGTGAACTGGCAAATTAATCATCCTTCACCTAACCTGGCTGCCATCAAAACCCATTCATGGTCAGATGATTCAGCACAATGCTGATATTCAACACGTACACATACATAAGTTACAGGGGGTTCTGCTATAACATAATAGATGCATTCCTGTGAAATGACACATTACAAAAAATCGTGCTATAGAAATAATGGTGCCTTATGAGTAAAGGGGAGGTTAGGGTGTAGAACAACAGAACAAAAAAACACTCAAAATGGCTCCAAAGCATCTATCCAATGGTTGTCATTAAAGCAAAGCATGCTATCAAAATACTGCAAAAAATTTACCCATAAAACATTTTATCGGAGTTACTGTGACACTTCAGTTTATTACTGCTGAGTTATAAAACTTGGTGTAAACATTCTATCAGCAAAATATAAAAACATTTTAAACCCCAGATTTAATATGGTTTCTCCTTCTCATTTACTTTAATCTCATTTTGGCTAACCTAGCAAATTTTAGATTAATATCCTAAATTAAGTATCAATAAACATCATATGTTTGACATGGATTTTCCCTTCCCAATGTTGGTTTGAATCTGGCATTAAATGAATCTCAATGTGCATAGCAGCATTGAGATCATCAAAGGGGTAAGAAGGCAATAACATTGAAGTGCGCTAAAGGGCAGGAAACAAGGATGTAAAATGTTGTCATTATTTTTCTTCAATATTTATTACATTTTGCAGACAGTAAAATAAACAGGATGAGCACATGGCATTAAGTTAGAAGCATGGTTGACAAAGTTTAACAAAGGAGTTGTTTCAATGTTTTTTATTCTAATGGAGAAGTTTGATAGTGTACAAGTAGGAAATTAGCCTTTCAAGACGAGAGACATTCTTCAACAACAAACCTAATTACAGCTCATTCAAAGATTTTTTTTACTGGGAGACAGAATAACACAAAAGAGCAAGTTCTCATCAGTTAAGTGATTTCTAATCGGTGACAGTCTGAGGGGGTTAAACAGTGCACATAATGGAGAAGTCTAGAACCACTGAAGGCAAGTCTGGTTAACTGCTAAAATGGATTCAGGAAGTCACTGTCAGTTTCAGAGACGACATGATAATGAATGCTAACAGTTGTCTTATGACTAAGGAAAATTCTGGTCCTTTGCAACTGCTTTCCAAAAAGAAAGCTGCCCAGGAGATGCCATGTATGGTTTTATCTCCAGGTCTCCAGTTTATCATCCACATCAAATGTTCATTATCACCTTCTCCTGACATTTCATTATCTGTCTACTCAGGTGTAAAATACTGTTGC